AGAAATTCTTCTTCTTCTCCCTCCTTTTCTCCTTCTCTTGATTTCTTTATGGTTCTCTCCATCCAAGTACCTATAACAAGTTCTCTTAAAAGCAAAATGCTTCTCGAAGGAAAAGGAATAGGGAGGAAAAGATAGGCGAGAGAGAAAGAAGAAGTTTGATATTGTCTGCCTTTTCCTTTTCAATGTTCATGATACAGGCATTGAAAACTACATACCTTATACGCACCACAGTGGAGGCATCATGGAAAATAGATATCACAAGATATAGCGTCCAAATCTTCATTAAAATATTTCTTTGTCAATGAGATTAATCTTGAGAGGAGGGGGAGGGAAGGATTTTTTTTTAATTTTGACTAATCAAATTGTCTTATTTCTAAATGTTCTAGTTGAATTAACTAAATATATCATCCTTTCCCTCTCTTCACTTCTTTTTTTCTCAAACCAAACATACTATTAATGGTGATTAATTAGTACGTTTTAGTTTAATTTGAGACAAACTTGGATATTAACTTTGATTAAATCTCAGGTTCTAGCTAGACCAAATAATGGCCTTGGAATCATCTGTAATTTTTCATTCATTCTACAGATTGATCATCAGCTAGAGTAATTAGAATTGGGACTGTAACTAGAATAAGAATTGGACAAGAATCAGTCCTGGAACCAATCATAGTTCAGTGTCATCACTACTTAAATCATGTAATCGAAACAAAAATAAACCAAGGCGCGCAGTTTGGTTCAGACCGAACCAGAACCAGGATTAGACTGATAGTCATACATTATATATGATGGTCAATTAATGAACTGGCGGACGACCATCACCTCTCAAATAAATATGGAAAGGAAAATTAAAATTAAAAGCTTTAGCCTAAGCCGAAATGCCCAATGATAAATGTTGGGCCTAAAAACCCAATGATAAATGATAATATTAATGGTAAGTAGAAAATTTTAAACGTTATTGACTGTGTTAACTCTAGATAATAAAATATGATTAGTAAAATGAACCAAAGAGATGTTAAATTTTTTGCATTATTATTCTTGTTTTCTGGGTGTTTTATGGTCACAACATCAACTGAGATTGTGCCTATTGGTTGTAAGGTAGGTTGAAAGGTATCCAGTATGTATTAGAACACCTTGGCAATGAAGCATGTGAGTGGTGTAACTCCTTTAGAAGTTATTTTACCATCACAGTTGGGGCCTTTGCAAGGTTGAGCTGGGAGCCTGGGCCTCCTTGGGGAGTGATTTTAAACTGGGCCAGAATGCGGTATTGACTAGCTAGTCCAGAAAGGCAGAAGCGAAGGGTCTGGCCCGTGAGACGTACTACTAAAATTCCAGCCTTCAGCTACATAGCACCCGTGAGACGTACGGTCACTATTCCTGAAGTCCATTTTTCTTCAACGCTAGTGAATGAGCAATTAACTCATAGATTTTACGAAGATTTTGGTATCTGTATTTATATATTCATTCATTAATTTCATTATATTACTTCTCTTTGATCATTTCATTTCACTTTATTTTGTATTTTTTTTTTTTATTAATTACCAAAACTGAGATATAGAGAAACGCTAGCTAACAGCAGAAGCTGCTACCGTTCAAAAACTGTACAGAAAGAATTAACAAATGAACGATATACTCTTCAATAATCTGCACCTATACTTAACCGCCATTGAAGATCAATGCCCCATTGGAGTGCTACACGCTTGGACAGTTGGATATAAGGTATGCTTTCGGCTTAGCAAGCAAAGCCAATATCCTGTCACGTGCATCCATTAGAATCAATTTGAATACTTTCTGACTCAAGCTTGGATAAAGCTTGATGGATGCATCAATTACACTCAAGTTGTTTAGTTAGTTTACAAGGTAAGTGGCTGATGGAGTTGAGAAAAAATCCCACATCTAGGAAATAAAAGGATATAGTAAGTGAGATAAATATGTGGAGGCCTATAAATCTAATATGTTGATTAGTCTTTTAATTTCAATTTAGTGTTTTTACATATTGGACTGTTACTTGTGTGTGCCCTTGACCAATAGTTGGTGCTCTCACTGGCTCAAATTGTCTCTCTAATACAAACCATATAATAATAGATTGAGGCATTTCATGCCAACTTGATAAATATATTGTAAAAAAACTCATTTTATTTATATAGTACACGTAGAAATCCAAGCTTAACCTTTATAAAAGGCCTCGACACTCACAGACACACAAGTTATTTATAAGAGCAAGCCCTTAACTTATTTTTCTTATCCCACATGCTAGATATATATAAGTAAAATACATAACACACCAGCATTTATTAAGCAAAGTAAACTGGTTTAACTACCAGCTCTTCAAGTTCGATATATATTCTCAGCTGACTAAAGCTGAAGTATGATGCTGCTGAGGCTGTCTACTACCGAGACCAGAAGCATGACGTCAAACTGGTAATCCAGCTCCATTCTCATTTCCTCCATTGCAGCTACGTTATCAGCTGTTTCCATTCTCACGCGATTCATCTCCCTCCTCATCCCCGCAACCTTCGCTCTCATCCTCTTCAGAGTCTTGTTTTGTTTTGCATAGAGTACAAACTGTATCAATAAGGTTATCAAGATATAAGGGGAGTTTATTTTAGTGTTTAAGGGGTAGCTGATAGTTGTGGGCTCCCTAAACAACTGTTAGAAGATACTTGAGTAACCAAATTTTTCTATCAGTGAATGTTAACAAACTATATGTCTGAGAGTCAGTTAGGATATACTACCTTCGTTTATTTTTAGTTGTCATACTTAATAAAAATGTCAATATTTAGTTATTATACTTTTTTTTTTTATAAAGATATTGCTTTGTTTCAATTTTAAATGGTTAATAATTATATTTTTTAATTTTCCTTAAATTTTTTTTTATTGTGTCACATAAAAAAGTGACAATTAAAAATAAACAAAGGGAGTAAGTGAAAAGACAGATGTACATGTACCTTGAGCCTGCGCTTCAATGTCCCAGTCTTTCTGCGATGTCCACGATGGGTCAGCTCTGGTGAAGCCATTTCTACGTCTTTATCCGAGGGGTGGGTTCTTGAGAAACTTTGGTTACAATTTATAGAGAATTTCTCCACACCTTACTGTTACAAATTCCTTAAACAATTATGGATCCAACTTCAATATACTAATAATGGAAACAGATGGGGTCCGACCCCTCACAGAATGGCTTGAAACTACTGAGATAGTGGACTGAGAAACATTTTTTTTTTATTCTGAGAAGTGGAATGAGAAACTTTTTGTTTCTGTAGTGGATTGACTTTTTACTTATTCGTTTGTTATGTACTTCTGTTGGAAAAATTATAATTAAACTAGACACATTAACGATTCATAGAATTTCGTTAACTAATTGGGCATGGCTTTCAAACTTAGAACTTTAACTACTTAATTATGGGTTTTTATTTTTTCAAATCCATATCTTTAGGGTAAGTAGTGCGATTACTACATTTATGCAATCTCTTGTTTTTTCTTCCCTTACTAGTGGTATAAATTAAATTAATAAAGAGTTTTCCTAACATTAATTTATAAAAAAAATACAAAAGCAGATCTTAGTTTTACGATTAATGTCATGCAAGAATTATTTTAATTACACAATTATTTAAATAAATGTCAAAAAAATTATTTAATCGTTTGCTTCTTTTGTGTTAATTCATTATACAACAAAAAATAATTCTATTCATTACCGTAACCTTAACCTCCCTACTTCATTGAACGGAGGATTAGTCTGAACGACTGAACGTACACATCTTCACAGGTATAGCACCTTTTGGTCCCATGGATATGAAGGCCTCTGGACCTAAAAAATTTCAGGCGAAAAAGGCGACTTGGGACCGTGCAGTTGTCGGAACAGTTGAGGAGACGGAATTTAAGGAGCGGGAGTGGAATACCGTTGACTATAGTTATGGTATGTTAAAATTTCAGACATTGGTGCAAACAGCGTTGACTCTGTGAGAAGTAGTAATGATTTTTTTTATTTTTAATATTGATTACATAATAAAAAACAATTATTTTTCATATTTTATTTTATCTCACTTGCATGCAATTCAAAGTCAAAATCTTTTATATTTAACTAAAAGAGATTAACATTAAATTACTTAAGTTATTAATTAAGTTATTAATAAAAATCATTTGGTAAAAGTCATTGACAGAAGTAATTATGATTCTTGACCAATTTGTAAGACAATTATTTTAATTATTGGTTACTATTTATATGGGTTTATGTAAAGTCCATATTACTTGTAATAATTCTTAAATTTAGATTTAAAAATCGATAGTCCATACTAAATTATTCTTTTGTGAGTTCTTTTGTTGAGTTGAAATGAGAAAAAAATGTTATATATAATTTGGTTGATCAAAAAATTTTCTCTTCTTTATTTTTATATACTCTTCTTAATTTCAATATGCAATAAAGAATGGTAATTTTTAAGTTGAGATTCTAATATTTTTAGAAGTTGAAATTAATAGGCACTAAAACTTTTATTAAAATATTACTTACTCTGTTTATTTTTAATAGTTTTAATTTGATTTTTTAACTTTTTGAATATAAATTTTAAATTAAAATTTAATATCTTATATGAACAATAATTAAAATTTTTTCCTATTTTATATGTAGTTTTTGTTTAGTATTTTTATTTAATAAAAAATTTTTAAATTGTCATTTATATAATATATTAAATTTTTATATAAAATTTACATCTAAAAAATTTAACTAAAATTATTAAAAATAAATAAAAATATATGAAAATATAAAAACATTTTACAATACAAATTATTTTTAACTATAAAAATTAACTTTTAAATAAGAGAGAGCTATTAATATTAAAGATTCATCCTTATTTAAAAATTTATATTTATAATTTAAATTATTTTAAATTATAAAATAACAGATACCTAAAACGATGTTTACATACCCGTAGTGTGATAAATAAAATAAGATATAAAAGATTTCGAGTAAAGAAATGATAATAATTATGTAGGCCACTCAAAATGCCAAATTCCGATGCGGCATAAGTTTCGTTTCTTTTGCATCATTTTTCTTGCGTCAACCGAAGCAGTCACCAACCACTTTCCTTGTCTAGAACTCTAGATGTCTGCAAGACTGAAGAGGAATGAGAGATTTTCTTGTCTAGAATTTCTAGAATCTAGATTTTTTTATCAATCATATTTAATTTCATTGCAGCAAAGCACTGCCGATGTTTACGATGAGATTCTTTTATCAAATCTTATTTAGGGCATGTTTTGGTTTAGTTTTTCAGAATTTTTATTATTTTAATAGTGTTTATGAGTGATAAATTTAAGTTTTTATTGAAAAAAAAATTTTAAAATTGATTTTAAAGATAAGAAAAAATGAGTAAAAAAATTTATGAAAAATTTAAATTTAAAATTTATGAGTTTTTATTGTTTGAGATCTTTTTAAGGTTAAAAAAACGTTTTAAAATGTAAGTTTCTAAAAGCAAAACTTTAATTTATAAAATATAAATAATATCAAAAAACAAAACCATAAGAAATTAATTCAAACATGTTCTTAATTTAACCGCCTCAAAGCACTACGAAAGTTAAGGCTGAGAGCACCATGGAAGAAATTATAGAGCTTTTCTCTACCTAAACAAAGTAGGTAGAGGAACAACTTATCCGTCTCAGTAGTATGGATCTTAGGTTACAATAGTTCACTTTTTGTGAGTGATGTATTTAAATTTTACAAAAATTTTTTCTCTTCCTCTTAATTGATATTTATAAATAATTTCAGTATGTTAAAAAGAAAAACAAAATGAACAGAGAAACGAGAAAATAACTTTTTTTTATAAGTTTTTAATTTTAGTAAGAACAATTAGTTTTTTATCAGACTAATAAACATTCATTTAAAGATGTATATAAATTAATTTAGAGATACATATTCACTGAAAAAAATACTGAAACAAAGTGAAAAATGGAAGTGTACTGGTGAGGAAATGAGAAATGATTGATGAGAGACTAAATCTATAAAAAGAAATTATAAACACAAGGTCAGAAAGTTTGGCTCGAATCTCATGAGTTTGATTGTCATTTTTTTTTTTGGGACCACAGAGTTTAATTTGTCATTGGTTCCCCCTTTGTCGTTTGTCATCTCCTCTTTTTCATTCTTTAATATTAATTTTAACTTCTTGATAATCAAATTAAGTGCGTATATTTCATTCTAAAAGATCATGATCCTCTCTCTCTCCATTGCTCTCATCAATCTTCCGTGCATAGGGTTTCAAGTTTTATATCACTAGATAATTTGACTTATTATAGCTTTACTTTACATGCTTATAAAATAAATATAAAAATATATAATCAATAAATTTATTATTAATTATAAGTTCATATCTATCCTTATTTTATTTTGTTTAAAGATTTGTTGTCTTTCAAAATGGAACAATTATAAAAATCTTTTTTAAAGGAGTAATTAAGAAATCATAAATAGGGTAAAATTAAAAACAAAAAAAACGATTTAATGCTTTGTTTATAATGAAAAATTGGCAAGTAAATTAGACTATTTGTTTTTAAAAAGTATGACAAGCAAATTAGTTCAAGTATCTGCTAATCTTTTGAGATCGTAAGAGGCTATGCAACACTAGATGGATTATTGTCTAAGTGGTTGCAAAGAATCCAAAGGAAAATAAAGAGGAGATTTTTTATTGAGAAGTGCCTACAGTACCTTATGTTACATTCTTCTTTTTAAAGCATTGATCCATATGGTATGTTACATATCAACTTATTCAATATTATGTAATTATTGTCAATATATATTTATTAATAATATTATTGTTAACAAAACTTTGTAGAAATTACATAAATTATACCAAATATTAAAGAAATTTGCAGAAATTCTTCTTCTTCTCCCTCCTTTTCTCCTTGTCATGATTTCTTTATGGTTCTCTCCGCCAAAGAATCCACAACAGGTTCTCTTTAAAGCACAATATTTCTTGAAGTAGAAGAAATAAGGAGGAAGAGAGAGGAGAGAGAGAAGAAGATTTGATAATGTCTGCATTTTCTTTTTTAATGTTCATGATACATGCATTGAAAACTACCTACCTTATATGCACCTACAGCGAAGGAATCATGGAAAATAGATATCACAAGATATAGGTTGATAAAAAATAAAATAAAAAAAGATATCACAAGATATAGTGTTAGATCTTCATTAAAATATTTTTCTTTGTCAAGAAGTAGTTTAAGTTTGAGGGGAGAGTACAGAAGAGAGGGAAGGATTTTTAATTTCGACCAATCAGAGTGCATTATTTCGAAATTTTCTAATTTGATTGACTATAAATATCATCTTTCCCGTCTTCTCCCCTTCTTTTCCCTCAAACCAAGCATGGTATTAGTGGTGGTTAATTAGCAAGTTAGTTTAGTTTGAGACAAATTCGGATCTCAACTAGATTAAATCTCACGCACTAGACCAAATAATGGCCTTAGAATCATGTGTAATTTTTCATTCTACAGATTGGTTATCAGCTAGAGAATTAGAATTGGGACCGTAACTAAAAGAAGAATCGGACAAGAGTCAGTCCTGGAACCAATCAAAGTTCAGTTGTCATCACTAGTTAAATCATGTAATCGAAACAAAAATAAACCAAGGCGCGCAGTTAGGTTCAGACCGAACCAAAACCAGGATTAGACTGACAGTCATATATTACATATGATGGCCAATTAATGAACTGGCGGACAAGCAGACCCCCACGTGACCTAATGGTGGCCACGTTGTCCTTACGCAATGGTGGACTGTACCTACTTAGTTGTTTGATCTTTTCAAGTACAAATAGATACTAACATTAACCATAATAATTTTTTATTGTCAAGAAAAAAAAAAAAAAAGAACTGGCGGACAAATCATCACCTCTCAAATAAAGATGGAAAGGAAAATAAAAATTAAAAGCTAGCCTAAGCCCAAATGCCCAATGATAAATGTTGGGCCTAAAAACCCAATACTAAATTATTATATTTAAGATCCAGCTTGATTTCATAACGCATGCACATTTAGAATGAAGCCCAACTTGCCCAAATCTGATT